TGCATAGAGGCTCAGCCTCCTTCGCATGTATGAGGGTTCCTGCTCGCTCCTCTCCCGATCGCACATAGAGATGAAGATTGGGCTTGATGTCGCCATTCCCAGGAGGAGGTCATGGCCACTGTCTAAACATAGATTTCTTGTCCCGTGCAATTGCACTTACAAAAGAGGGCTTTCTCTCAGCTCCGCTCAGTTCACAGGCAAGAGGATCACTCACGCTCGATCTCTCCTCGGCCTTGGACGCAGGAAAGGCCTATTGTTTTCGCTTTGTCTGGCCACAAGCACGAAATAGAGGGGTCGAGCGGTTTTCAATATTCGATCTCCAACACCAATGAAGGCCAATTCCTTTGATTTGTATATCCTAGCGATTCCAGCAATGAAGGCTGATGGAAGGACACCTATTCCTCAGAATTCCAACAATGAAGGCCAGTGGAGGGAATTTGACTCTGACACCATGTTAAATTTAGAGAATTAGAGAGGGAAAATGCTTCATTTTATTATACAAAACTATTCCTATTCATAGATCTATACCAGATGTCTTAATAAAGAAATAAATAACTACATAATCATGCATAATTGCCTTAATATAAATCTTCCTAAACCAACCACCCCAATATAGAAGAAGATCAACGTGATCCAGGTGAGTTTCTCACAGATCCCCATGCTAACTATGGATCAAGGGCCAAGGGACTACTGAGATTTAATTGCGTAATCCAGGTGAGCCTCCCACGAATCCCCATGCTGGCCTTGGGATTGAGGACCAAGGGACGGTTGAGATTTAACAATCTATCAATATATATGTGTGGGCTTCAAAAAATTCCATTTTATATTTGTGTGTTCCCGGCCTCTCCGCGCCATCAGTTTATTTTTCTTTTAAGTATTTGTGTGACGATGACGGCAGGGAGTTTTAATGAGATTAGGTTCCGAGGGAATTTTCAGAAGGCAGATTGGGTTTTAGATAAGACACTACCCAGAGATTTCGCCCTCATTTTGTGAGGACTTTTTTTATCTGAGTTCTAGTTTCCTATAGGCGCAAGCCCCTATAGTTAATTACCCCTCCTAATAACAGGAGAGAACTTTCGATTAAGGCTAGTCGTTAAGGATGTTGTATAGGTTATGAACCTATCGTATAATAACAATAATTTTAGGGTTTAAATTTTGAATTGGAAAGTTTGAAATTTGGAATTTATCACCATAAACTTAAAATTGATGGTGGGGGGAATGAAAACAAGCCCGATCAAGATCCCATGGTTCCGTCGTCCCGGGCTGTCATGATCCCTGGTCTACTTAGTCAGAGGAGGTAGTCGACCCAACCTGACAAAAGGAACCTTATCGGCAGCCATGGGTTGCTTCGTCCAAGAATACCTTGTAGACCTGGGTTGATGTTTGTCTAAGGAGATATATCTGAATCCACCTTAGTTAACAAAGGGCTTTATGCCTATCAAATATACCCTATGATTCATAACTCAAGAGTTTGACGCCTTTAGGGAACATACGGGATTTGGCCGTGATCGTAATATAATGGTGCCATTTTGCGGCAAAACCACCCGATCAGAGGGTACGTGCCACGTCCATGCTGGCAAGAGACTATTTGAGGATGAATCAAAGTGATACACTCGACACACATTTGCTCTTTGTGAGCTGAGGTTAATTTCAAATTTATCACCCCCGACAAATGATTACGGGAGATGGATGATTTTTAGTTTTAAGTTTTTTAGATGATTGATTTTATTTCAAGAATTTGAACTGTTATTTGATTTGAGATTTGACCCCTCCGGTTGAGATTTTCTGTCAACATGGCCATCATCGGGGTGGCTTCAAAGTCACTTGTATTTTCGTAGGATTTTTGGGAGACATTTTGTACTTCAAGTCATGTCGACTCCAGTCCTTTTAAGGAGGAGGATGAAACTTGAATATAGAACCGCGCAGCATTCTTGAATCGTTAGATTTTAGGACTTAGAGGTGATGATTGGAGCACATGCGGGTTATAGTATTTGACCCTGCGCAGCATTCTCGGTCATTATTATTTGTACTTTTAACATGTTGACCGGAGCACATGCAGGGATTTATTTTGTTCAAAAGATCATATTTAATATATAAGGGGTATTTTAAAATATTTAAATATGATCCATTTAGGCTAATGATTTTATTCGAAAATGGTCCGGGATTTTATTTAAAGGCCTACGAACGCCTTCTGTCCGCTTGCACACATGTTGCGGATCCGGTGGCGTTGAGTGTATTAAATTTCACTTTTCACTTTAAGCATCTTATCCTTCAAATCTTGGGCTTCTATATTCATGCTCATGCTATCATATGATCTTATAATAAAACTCATATTTATTTTTCTTCATGAGCTAGCCCATTTCTTTCCTTGCATTTATATTTCTAATTCACTCATATGTATCAATTATATCTTTAAGAAGCATCCAGAGTGACTCTAGTTTAGTGTCTTTTCTACAAGCTCTTATTTGGCATATCCACTAATAAGTATATACTAAGTAATGGAGCTTGATTCGATGCATCATTAATGTTTATAACATCAATAATAACATAATGGCTTGCACTTTTCATCATTGTGATCAATTGCCTTGGAAGTTAGTTCACATTTGTAGGAAGTTGGGTCAATATAATATAATCATCTATTAATTGATCTTGACATTCCATAAGCAACATAAATAAGATGTATTAGTGACTTAGAACTTAATTAAAATCTTCCATCAAACGAATATTTATTTTATGGATGCGAACTCATTTACTAGCCTTGATTAAAAATCTCATACATAATTAAAGTTGGCATTGCAAATTATATAGAGCAAGTTGCTAGCATCCAATCTCCCTTCGTGGATTTCAAGAAAATTTTCACCTTCATTTAGAATGTAATCGTTATAAAGGAAATTTAGTGATAATTTTCTTTAAACTACCATTATATATTTAGGTATGCCAGTTGGTGGAGAAGAACAAGAGCCGGCGTGGTCGAGGTCAGAGGGCTTGGTGGCCGGCGGGTATGGCAGCCGGAGTCGGCTCTAGCCGGGTCAACGTCTGAGCAGGAGGTCGGAGGCCGGAGGTCAGGCTGGGTCGGAAGTGTCCGCTGATGAGGCTAGGACACGACTTTGCAGAAGATCATGAGACCGAAGGGTATGTAGTTGGAACTTCTTGCCTGTGATTCTCTTGTCATTCTGAGAGCGTCTGTGTGCGTGAGAGAGCACCGAATGAGAGGAGGCCAATATTTTTGTGTCGTGAGGAGTTGGTTTTAAACGATTATGAGATCGTGGGGGATCGTGAGATCGTGGGGGTTCCGGTCGGTTGGGTAGTTATAGCCGACTGCCAGTTATAGGTCAACAATACGGGCAAAGTTTATAGTACTATATCCAAATAAAAAAAAAATAAAATGTGATTTTAGTGATTAAAATTTTGTGCTTGTTGATTCAAATTGTTTTTCATAATATGTTTAAATAAAGTTACACAAATTTTTTTCTGTATGATGGCCATTTTATCTATATTTAACATAGAGGATTTCACATAATATCAAGGCACTTTTGAACCTTTTGTGTAGTCATAATGTATTTTTGTTGGTGGAGTTTATGCTTTTCTGGGTTTTGTTATTGTCGCTCTACCACCATCTTCCCCTTTAAAAATGCATGGCAAGTGGAGACATTCAACATTGATGACATCATCATAAGTATATGTCAAGTTGGCATACGTACTTGAGATGTTGGAAATATAAGACATGTGATGATAACTCTTTAATTGACGATGATGATTTGACCTAATTAAAGTCTCATCCATTTGAAGATTCTCCTAGCTAAAACTCTTTGCAGGAGAGTTTTTTCAAACCTCGGGGGAGTTGATGTTGTACAAGACTCCTAGACCAAGCCCAACTATTAGGCTAAGCTTTAGACAATATTATTTTTAGGGCTAATTACAATTTAGGTTGAATTTTGTATTTATTTAGCATTATTATATTTTTTATGTTTATTTTCTTAGATTAGATACCATCTATTATTTTGACGCTTATGTAGTTTTAAATTTTAGTTAGACTCATTTGTTATAATCACCACTCCTTAACTTTATGAAAGGAGGTAATGAGATTTGGATTAATTAGATTTGAACGAACGATAATTTGAATTGATTCCTCCACCTTATTCTCTCCCACCTATTGCCTGTATGATTCCTCTATTTTCTCTCTTCCTATTCTCAAATTTCTCTCTAATCTCGGAACTACTTTGACCACGTCTTAGCATTTTTGACGTATCTCATTTCTTATAAAAATCATATGATTATCTGTATTTTGCATGCTTGCTATTTGATTCCTTATAGTTTTTATGTTCATCACTTGGCTAAGTTTGACGACATAAATTCTATTTTTCTACACAAGGTAACAATCCTAGCGTGCCTTTTTCAATACTAGAGTCTAATTTTCTAATTAAGGTTTTAAGACTAAAGTTTTCACCAATATGCCATGTCTTGCATGATATTGTGAAGACATGAATGAAAGATTTTTGGCATGCAAATGTTAAACCAATTATAGGAAGCCATATATACATATAAATCACATATTCGTTATGCTGACCAAAGTCCAATTTTGGACTTGTGATTTGTCCTGTTTTGCCTAGATTCTATCTAAATCTTGGAAAGTTTGGATATTTTTGGAGCAGATGTCATTTGATAGATTTGTTTCTCTTATACATTTTTTATGCCATTGCTATTTTATATTTATTATTCTAATACCACAGTGATAACTTTTCATCTGTCATGTTGATATGCTTTACCTTTTTTTTTCTCTATTTTGTCATGTGACCAATAATACTTCACTTATCCCTAATTTTGTACTTTGTATTCTAGTTTGTCTCCACTGTCAAGATCATTTGCTTTGTATGCTTTCTAAAATTGTCTTGTTCTAAAGTATTGGTTATTTGGTTTGAATGTTCTGTTGAAAGTGCCTACCTATTATTCCCGCAAAATGGTTCTTATTCTGTGCCTTTTTGTATGCTCTGCTTATGCAGGGCCAAGATCTTTATACATCAAAAACGGTGAGGGACAAGCAGATAGCAAGAATTCTTGGAAAGGTACTCGCTTATGCCATTTTTACTTTGATTGATTGGAGATCCTTGTGAAGTTACTAGTGACCATGTTATAGCTTTAGTTGATTACAGAAAACACTCTATTGAACACTGGGTTCTTTTGTGTTTGAAGGCACCAACAATTGCTGCAGCTGCCTATTTGAGATTGGCTGGAAGGCCTCCGGTGCTCCCTTCCAGTAACCTATCTTATTCGGAAAACTTTTTATATATGTTGGATTCTTTGTAAGAACTCTCTAACTTCTTATTCTTATATATTGATTTTCATCCCATATGTGGCATTTCTGCACATTCTACATGTAAAAATTGCCCATTAGCAGGTAACTGGAGACCTGTAACTACCCTTTCTGACTCTGCTTTTCGTATGATACAGGGGTGACAGGTCATATAAACCTAATCCTAGGCTTTCTCGGGCCCTTGACATTCTATTTATCCTACATGCAGAGCATGAAATGAACTGCTCTACAGCTGCTGCAAGACATCTTGCGTCAAGGTTTCCATTCCTCAATGAATTAAAACTTGAAAGTCATTGTTTTCTCTATTTTTGCTCTTCCCATGGTGATTTCTTGCGTCATTTTTACAGTGGCGTGGATGTATATACTGCTCTGGCAGGAGCTGTAGGAGCACTATATGGCCCTCTTCACGGCGGAGCAAATGAGGTATTGAAAAAAACTCACCCGCATGACGATATATAATTGCTGGGACTTTAAAAAAAATTTCAGTCTATTGAATACCTTGTGAATTTTGCTTTTTATATTACTTGGATCGGAAGTGTAATTTGGAATGATCAAATTCTCCCATCTCCCATTTAGTTTCTGCTACTAAATTTTATTTCTGGCAGTTACATTACACATGTTGATAACATGTTCTTAGTTTTACTTTTGATAACTTGAAATATCGCAATCAGGATGCATTTTTTTTTTGGAACAGCTGTAGATGCTTGATTTGTCTATTTAGTGCTCAGTAGCAGTTACCTCTATTGGTAGAATGTTACTTCATTGTTGATTCTTTGGTGAGCCTGTGATTTTGTAAAGTTTGGTACGTTCACTTATTTATTCACTGTTTATTTGGCTTCTGCTTTCTGAAATACCTTTTATTTAATATTAGGATATTTATGTGCCATTGAATGCTAAAGGATTAAAGCTTGGTTAATCAATTAATGTTTTTGGTATCCATATTCTTTACACCCTACGTCAATTGCTTTGCCATAATCTACTACCGCTGCGCAAAATATACTTCGGTTTGAGCTTGGACCAGTTTTTACCATGCTTTGTCGGATAAACTGAATGATTTGCTTCATCCTGGTAACTGCAGGCCGTCCTTAAGATGCTTAATGAGATTGGAACTGTTGAAAATATTCCAGATTTCATTGATGGTGTGAAAAACAGGTTTTTTTAACTTTCCCTGAGTGTTTGTTAAGTTTCCATGTCTGAGTTTCTTATAAACTCATTTTTATTAAACGTATGATTGTATTGGTTTTTATAGGAGAAGAAAAATGTCAGGGTTTGGACATCGAGTGTACAAAAACTATGATCCTCGTGCTAAGGTTATCCGGAAGCTGGCAGAGGAGGTCTTTTCAATTGTTGGTCGTGACCCCCTTATTGAGGTATCTTTATTTGATTTTACATATAATATTCGTCTAACTGCACATCAATAACTTTTTGCTGATAGGGCATACCCTACTTTTTGTTTGTGCACATATGATTAATATTGTCTCTAAGCTTTCATTCTTGGGAACATATGGTTATTCTGTTTGCTATACGTAGCGTAAGATCTAATTAGATATTTGAGTGTAAAGTTCTCTAAGAGGAAATTTTTTACCAATTTGTATTATCTTGGGATTAGGGGTATCAATTGGTGTTGATTTGTTGGGATCAGGAACAGGTGACCCGATGTTGATCCATCCCGAATATGCTTCATATCTGACCTGTTTATTTTGTGAGTCAAAGTATTTAAAACCCGCCTAATTCAAACTTGAGTTATTTACCCATTTATTATATGGATCATTCCATTTTTTTGGATCAATACTACCCAATTAATTCAAATATAGCTGGTTTAACCTATTTAATCTAGCACGAACTAGCCTAACCAAATTTGAATAGTAATTTGATGTATTTTGAGTTATTCGGGTCAATTGAAGTTGACCAAAATAAATTCAGGTTTATAATTTAAACTTAAACTTTACCCATTTATTATATGGATCATTCAATTTTTTTGGATCAAAATTACCCAATTAATTCAAATATAACCGGTTTAACCTATTTAATCTAGCACGAACTAGCTTAACCAAATTTGAATAGTAATTTGGTGTATTTTGAGTTATTCGGGTCAATTGAAGTTGACCAAAATAAATTCAGGTTTATAATTTAAACTTGAACTTGACCAGAATAGTAATAGAGTCAACTTAATTAGGTTTAGATGGAGCTTCTAGAAATTTTTATTACCACCACCCCCTCCCCCCCAACTAAAATTTACAAAGAGTGCAATAAGGTCTTTTATGTCGCTTTGATGGCCTTTTTCTTCGCTTTTTCTTATATTCGTTCTAGTTCTTTTTATCTTTTGTGCTAGACGTGGGTTTGATATCTCATACTTTTAATTGCAATTGCTTTTGAGCTAGCCTATGTACTTATGCTTAATGGAAAGAGTGCTAGACGTGGGTTTGATATCTCATACTTTTAAACTTCCCTTGCAAAAGGGTGCTTAGGAGAAAGTTTGTCTTTTTAGTGCACACATACATCAACTTCTTGTACTTTATCACAATTGATACCAGTTGGCCGTTTTTTCTTCTTTTTGGTCGATAGAGTAAAACTAAAAAATTAATAATTCTTTAAAGCGTGACAATGTCATTTTGAATTTGTCTAATTGATGGGGACATCCGGTCATGGAAAGTTTATCGTCGCCGAGGTCAGAGATCAACGGTCGTGATTGAGTCGCTGTATATGTAGTTTGTTTTATTTGATCTTTTGGATTTGTGTTGTTTTATTTCCTATTTTACCCTCATGTGAGGGGGATGTTATGTTTGGTGACCAAGGGTATTTTGGTCTTGTTGTTTTTTCTTCTTTTTGGGCTTATATATAAGAGCCCTCATCATTTGTAATTTGGTTAATGAATGCTGAAAACGTTTTTACCTTTGGAGCTTAGTTTTTTCTTTCTAAGTAGCTTGATAAAGATTAGTTTAGTGGTGTGAGTGTGAAGTACCCAACTGCCCGTTGGCTCTTGATTTTTATCCTTGTTCCCAAGTCTCTCCATCTCCTTCCCAACTCCCAACCGAACCCTTCCCCTACTCCCAGCCAACGTTTTCAAACTCCTGCAGTAGATTTCTGCTTGGAAACCTGCTGTCTGAAGCCTTCTAACCCCACCAACAGCCCTCTGTTTACCCTCACTCCTAGTGATAGTAACCAATCACCCAACATCCACTTTGGTGACCCATCCTCTTCCAAAAACTACTGAAATTTCCCCTCCCAACAGCCAACAAAATTCTGTCTTTACATCTTCCTCATTGGAAGTTGGAAAGTAACTTTGTGTCTTTGTATTCTCCAAAACCTTTTTCCAAATGTTAAAGTGCTGTCTTTTAACTTTCCCAAAGCCCCTTTTCATTTTCCTATTAAATAAAAGCCACATGACCTTCCAACTCCCCCCAAATTTGCTGCCTACTTTTCCTAACAGTCACTAAACCACGTTTTTCCACTATATCCCCTTCCCAAAACAGCCGAAACTAATCCCCACTCCTTTCCCAGCCATTAGAAAATTCCACACTCCTCCATTAGACCCTCCACCATCTCTTTAACCTCCACTAACACTCCAAACAACATTCTCCCTTCCCAAACAATTAAATCAGTAAATGTTGTCCTCCAAAATCACCATAGAGGACTACTTTCAGAGATTCAGCAAAAGTTGTTGTCAACCAAGGGAGTTATTGGCCTCTTCGTCAACACTTTGTTCAACGTCCAAGCAAGATAAGTGTCTTACATCTTCTCTTATTTACTGTTTAGCCTAGATATCTTATTCTCCGCTCCGAAGTAGCATCATACAAGTGTAGCAACTAATCTGCTTAGTCTACTTTCTTAATAAAGAGCTTCGGACTTCATTTGCAACTAATTCTAAATTAAAAGTGGAACTCTAGCCACCCATGTTCTCAAAGTTTTTTTTTTAAATTACTTTACTCCTTTTAAATTGTGAATGTCGTTACTAGCCAAGTTTCTTGTTTTGCGTAGTTGCGTTGCCTAAATTTCTTGTCTTGATAAATTTCCTTGGAGTTTTAATTTGTTGTTTTTATTTATTCCCTAGCATAAATCTCTACATGCATGATCAATTTACTTTGTCCTGGATTACTAATTCTTGGATGTTGAGTTCAACCACATTAGACCGTGAATGCAAATTTTCCAGGAGAGCAAAAACGATTTTTTGTATAGAGTCATGCTTGTAAAAAGAAGAGTTTGTCTCCAAGGTATTCATCTTGTTGGCATTCACATAACTGTTAATGGTTGGTAACTCCAGCTTGGCATTGACTTTAAAGAAAGGTGGGAGTCGTGTTTGGTTGTTCTTAACCTACGCTATAGATGCATTTTTCCAATTTTATTTATTATCTTCCCTTGGTAATGTGGTTTTCTTCCTAAGTTTAGCGATAAGAACCTCTATTTCTGAGGTATTATTGTGCTTTGTATGGTCATCTATTTGACAAATTTGGGCACATTTCTCTCTAGTTGTGCAAATCGAGTGTATTAACTCTCGGGAAATGGTGTATTCCCTTATGTTGATGATGATTCACTAACACTAGTTAGGATTGCGGCTAGTGGATCTAGAGTAAACCAGATTATAAAAAAATTCTCACTTATTTGAAGAGTCTATGAAAATTTGTCTAATATTAATTATGATCCAAATCTGCCACGGTAGGTTATGTGTCTAATCTTCTTAATGGATGAAATCATAAGGTAGAAGGTTTCTTGGGCCCACCTATAGAATATTAAATCAATCTACATAAGATAACTCTGCTAAGGTGGTAACCAAGAGAGTATTCTTTTCTTCAATGCAATTAGGGTTTATAGAACTCTGAAGATTTGGATTCAACCAATATAAGAAAAAAAGGGAAAAGTTGTGATGAAATTGGCAAACACCTAAGATTTGTTAAGTAGAGAGGAAGGTAATAGATTTACCAATTTTGAACCTTGATGGCTTCCTTCAAGCTTTTGCTAAATTTTTTAATGAAAATTGTGAAAATAAGATTGACTATAGTGACCTTAGCACCCTAATTGAAAATAAAGATTTCTATTTTTATCGGCGTATTAGTAAAACCGAAGTTAGAGAGGCTTTAAAGAAAATGAAGGTTGGAAAAGCAGTTGTGAGTGAGGGGATTGTGTCTTTGGGCGATCAAGTCATTAATAAGAGTACCCGTTTTAGATATCTTGGATCAATTGTTCATGGTGATGGTGAAATAGATGGGGATATTATCAGTAGAATTCAAGTTGGATGGTTGAAGTGGAGGAATGCATCGGGCTTGTTATGTGATAGAAATGTACCCCTCAAACTTAAGGGAAAATTCTATAAGATGGTTGTGAGGCCTGCAATGCTTTATGGTGCCAAATGTTTGCCATTAAAATAGAAGCATAATACTAAGTTAAGTGTGGCAGAGATGAGGATGCTCAGGTGGATGAGTGGCTTTACCCTTAGAGATAGGATAAGAAATGAGCATATAAGTGAAAAGGTTGGAGTAGCTCCAGTAGAAGATAAGATTAGAGAGAGTCGCCTTAGATGGTTTGGTCACATAAAACAGCGGCCTTCCAATGACCCGGTTAGGAGAGTAGAGGTATTAGATTTGAATTATGTTAAGAAAGGTAGAGGCAGACCTAAAAAGACTTGATTAGAAAATATTAAGAATGACCTTTCTTTATTAAATTTAAACGAGAATTTGACTTTTAATAGGACACAATGGAGAAAAAGGATTCATGTAGCCGACCCCACATAGTGGGATAAAAGCTTGATGTTGTTGTTGTGATGGCTTCCTTCAAGCACCTTTTTCAATGCCCTCCTTTGCTTCTTTTGCAAATCTTCTCGCTTTTCCTTTTTTATTTCCTACCCGAGCTCTCAGTTTTGGAATTGTTGGAGGAAGGGAGAGCTTGAGTTGGAGAGAGAGGCAGGCCAGAGTTAAAAGTTAAGGGAGTGAAGGATGGTTTTTTTTGGGAAGGAATTGTATTTCTATTCAATTTTGGAGTGAAAAATATGTAGAAGGGTTTCCTATTTTTAGATCATAGGGGCCAATAAAAAACATGCAAATCCTTGTGATATAAGTAAGATGCGTTGTATGCTCTTTATTCTAAGAAATTTTATATTATGCTTAATCTTATTCGTGTAGTTGGCCATGCTAAGTTTTCTAAGTTGTGGATTCTCTTTGATTCTCCCATGCTGTTGACCAAGGCTCTTTCTAAATTTGGTTTTCCCCTTTTTTATTAATCATGTGGCAGCTTTATGGTATCTTTAAGGTTTCCTCATTTCAAAGCCATGATGCTTCAATAAGAGTGGATACTCTTTGATTTCCACCATGTGGTCATTCAAGGTCTCCCCATATTAGGGTTTCTCATTTGTTTTCAACATGTGGCCATCTAGAGCTTG